TTAAAAGGCAAACATATTTATTTCCAATTCAAGTTTCTTGATCCAGGAATCAGGTTTTGAACTAGTTCAGCTCCAAGCTTTTGGTTAAAGAACTTTCCAGTAGAAGAAGGGTCCTTTACTCTGAGAATTAAACCATTATCATAATAAAAGTGTAAATTATGTCCATATCGATGTCGTGGCACTACTGGAAAACGTACGAATTTCAATCTAAAAAACTTGAAAGAAATAATAGTAATTTACTAATAAATTTATTGATAATTTATACAATAATAATAATAATCTGTACTAATCTACAAATAAAACAATAAAATTTTGTATAAAAAAATCACAAAAATATCAATTACCTCTGTCAATGGGACCGTAATGCTGTGGAGGCAATGAAGGCAGTAAAAGCTGGATTTTGACATACCAAAAACGAAATTAAAGTTTTGTAAACTAAAATCCAAGGAAAAAAAAAAAAAACAGAGAGTGATGCAACTTACAAAAGGCAGGATGGAGGCGCGTGGAGGCTTAGAGGTGATGGATCTTGCACCAAAATGCACAGATCTACAAAGAAATTTACAAATGCCCGAATGTAAATCAAAGGAAAAAAAAAAAGTAGCTCCAGATCTGCACAGAGAGGGACCAACTCACCGGCTTAAAGGTCACACAGCAGGGGGCTCGATGGCAAGAAGCCAGAATCCGGCGGCACCGGCAAGAACATGGCCGAAGAAAATGAACCAGATCTGCCGTAGAGGAAGAAGAAGAAATGGGGGAAAGAAAGGCGGACGGGGGGTTAAAGTCGAGTATGTTCGACAGCATTGCTGTCGAATATACAAGAAACATAATCGACAGCCTGTTATATATATTCAACAGCCAATTGGTTGTTGAATAAAAGACCATATTTGATAGAATAATTGTCGAATAAATTTTCTGTCGATTATGCACCAAAAAATCGATTATCATCGACAATCAATCTTATTCGACAGTTATGGTGTCGAATATGGTCTTTTATTCGACAGCTACTTGGCTGTCGAATATGTTTTTGTCGATTTTGCCCAGTTTTCCAGTAGTGTGGTTACTGCCTCAAGCCAATGCTGCAAGGCAAGCTTCTGAGCTTTACTATTCTTTGATAAACCTTTTCCCACCTTGGCAGCTCTGGTTCTTGCTCTTGACCAACGCGAAATAGCAGTTTCATGTTTCTCTCTGTCAAAGAACGATATAGAACTCCGCTTGAGTTCAGCAAAATCCAAGAGCTTCCACCTGCCACTCCAAACAATTAATTGCATAGGATATGATAAAAACATAGCAAACTTTATACATAGAAGAGGTAGGATTAGCACACATAATACATACCAGCTCTGCTCAATGAGAACTGCACAATCTGCTAACTTTCTTCTTGTTCGAAAACTCTTGTACTCTTTTTGCAGTTTTATTGCCGCCTCATGATTCGGATTGCTCAGATCCAAAATTGGCAATTGTTGGATAGACCCTTCTGAACCATCTGAACTTGGGGACTGAGCATCAATTACCGTGCACTTCGGGCTCACTGCTTCAAATTGCTCATTGTTTTCTTTATCTACGGAAGTAGACTTTGTTGAGTGCATCCTCTCCAATTCCTTCCCTTTAAAGCTAACAGATCCTTCAAATATCATCCTTTTTCCCAAACCTAGGATTTCAGTATGGTGGGCTCTGAATCTCGACCTAAAGAATGGGAAACTCTAATGATATTTTACTCATTAAGAATTGTGTATATATACAATGAGATATTGGCCTGAGCTACACATACGATATGGGCTATATACAATGCTATATGTATAATATTCTATCATTCCCCCTTAATTTGTGCGGGATTAGGAAGAACGCATAAATTGCTTCTTAAAAGACGAAATTGATGCATCAGAAGACCCTTTGTCAAAATATCAACCCATTGATGGAAAGAGGAAACAGACCGTAAAGAGATCAAACCAAAAGCCACTCTTTCGTAAACAAAATGGAGATCAATCTCAATATGCTTCGTGCGTTGATACTGCACAGGATTGATTGACATATACAAAGCATTGACATTATCACAGTAAAGAATTTGTAGGAGAGTGAATAGGAAGTTGCCGAACCCATGTTACGTCTGCAATAGCATTAGCAATTGCCCTATATTTTGCCTCTGCACTAGACCAAGAAACTGTAGACTGCTTCTTAGATGACTAAGAAATAAGAGAATTACTAAGAAATAAACAAAACCCAGATGTAGATCGACGGGTGTCCAAACAACTTGCCCAATTGGCATCAATAAAGATGTGAAGAGAAAAGGAGGAAACCTTTTGAAGTTGAAGACCATAATGTAATGTCCCTTTTAAGTATCGGAGAATTCGTTTCATAGCTTGAAAGTGATTAACAATAGGAGCATGCATGTACTGACAAACTTGCTGAATAGGAGAAGAAATATCTAGACACGTAAAAGTGGCATATTGTGAGGCACCAACAATGCTTCAATAGCCAGAAGGATTGGACTAATGAGGATTGTCATCAGTGGCCTATTTCTTTCGGGAATCCAAAGGTGTAGCCATTGGTTTACAATCTGTCATACCACTTCGATCAAGGAGCTCATGAATATATTTTGACTGATTAAAAAATAAACCAACATAATTAATTTTTGCAGTAATACCCAAAAAAATAATGCAAGTCTCCCAAATCTATCATAAGAAATTCCTTCTTCAAAAGAGAAATAAGCTCAGACAATAAA